TTCTTTATTGTAATGTCTAAGATTTGCATGGACTTAGCTTATTTAAAATTTCTGCACCAGAAATGGTAGTATATGTTTTTCTATGTTTAATGTAAGATCTCAGCTGTACCATGTACTTATAAATATATATATATATATCTTTATTATCTTCATTATTATCTTTATTTAGCGTCAAATATTTAATGTTAAGCCGACTATGTATTGCCAGCCTTACTCACCCGGCGCACAATTACACAATTATGCATCTTGATTCAGCGTTAGTTCAGCAGAGTATCTCTCTACTAATTCCGTGTTCACTTGCAATGAAGATACGGAACATTGGGCTTTTTGAGGGCCCTATCTAATCGAGTTGCAATCGTAAATTATACAATACGCAAGGCAATTGGGATGATGACAGGGTATGAAAATTAAAAATATAATTAGTTTGTAAGTAAGACAATGAAAAAATATAGACACGTATATTTTTATTTTGTCGTATAATAAAACAATACTTAGATAAAACGAATCAAAGTTTAGGAGTGGGGGCTAAAACGTCATTTCTACGTATGAAATGTACATAGAAGTGACGTCATGCGACATTTCAAATCGTCATATATCGTCGAAAGTATTCATTTCTGTAAGAAAATAAAAAAAAACGTGTCCAATGATTTAAAATAAGCTACCAGACGGACATTAAAATAAAAATTAGGCATCTACCCTATTGAGCTGAAACTAAGTTTGGCCCTAATCAATTAAAGAGCGGTTCAAAAAAGATGAGTTCACAATTTGCTACCACCAGGTCAAAGTCAAAGTCAAAGTCAAAGCATTTATTTCAATTAAACCATAGTTTGGTACTTTTGAAACGTCAACAAATACAAAATAAATAATAGTCTGTCAGTCAGTCCGTCAGTGAAGCTAGGTGAAGCTAGGTGCTCATTCCAAAACGTAGATTCGAATGGAGAAGAACGAGCAAGAAACTCCATTCGTTAAAAAAGTATGTTCTACAATGTCTCTGATACATATTTCAATACTGTACGCATATGTAAGAACAATGCAAAGACACGCTTGACGCATTATACTACTAACTTACTAAAATAAAAATAAAAATAATAAAGATCTTAAGTCCAACATGGTGCTCACATATGCATACTGACAATCCATAGAAATAGTGCTTCTATACAAGAAAAAGGAAACTCTTTGTTTCAATAAAGAAAGAAATGCTCGATGCCATAAGGAAACTAGATTGTCTACATTAGAATTAAAGTATTAAATTATGTATTATATTACCTACTATTGGAATTTAACTACTGACTACATTTGAGTATTGTCCAGTGGAGCCGAACCAACATGCTGCCAAGCATTCTTATCTTCAAGACCTTCAACTAAACCAGGAAAACCTGAGTAAAGTTAATACTTCACCAGTTTTATTTATTTTATTTATTTAACTATGATTTAAAAGTAGCTAGTGCTACTGGGTTTTTAGACTTCCAAATCCTGTTAAAGTGTAATAAAAAAAGACGGCACGGTTGGTGCAGCGGCTGACCAACCGGCAGCCACGCAACGTGCCGTGGCGCGGATTCGATTCCCGCACGGAGCTGTTCCGGTCTGGGTGTCATGTGTAATGTAACTTGTATGTTTATAAACGTACCCACGACACAGGAGTTAAACCTAGAGTGGGACAACGTTATATTTAAAAAAAATACGGCTTCAATAAACGTGGTCTTTGGACTTGCTTAACCTGTTACAGTAGAGCTTTATACAGGATTTCTGCCTATCCATTGGGGGATTACACGGCGTGATGTTTTACTTATTTCATGTTCTAAGATACTTACTTCTCAATTTTAATACAAGTACTTAGCTACAAAGTATAGCTTTCACTTTTGAGAATAAAGTAGGTACTTAGTGACAGTAAGTTACGAACGTCTTAAAGCTAAGTATCATTCAAGTATTCACTTAAGTAACTTAAGTAAGCTTCTTAGATACTTATTACGTAATATCATTGTAAGCAATACTTTATAAATAACAATATTTAAAGATTATATGGCGTCTCTAGTCAACTTGATACTTATAATTTTGAAACCCTTTTTGAGAATTTGATCAACTCTATTTTAACTTGAGACCTCTAAATCAAACTTTAGATCGGGGATTAGTAGATAATAAATAAATAGATTTGATAGATGTAGCAGGAAGCTACAGGATACAGAGACATGCTAATTGAAAACATCGGTTTAAACTGTCAAACACCAAGCGGTCACCGATGACCGCAACCTATTGTTCTATAATTGTGTCTACAAAACCGGTACTCGACGAGTTAATCACATAAAAACTAAACTGCTGTTTTTATTTAATATACTACGGCCAATTTGGACGTCATTGGTGTTGTCTATGTTCAGCAGCGGACGTATTGTGACTGATTGTATGATATTGAACTAAACCGACAAAAGAAAATCGCACTATTACTAAAAGTCGTAAGTGCACAGCTAACCTAAAGCAATCGGCGCACAATCGCACAGTTGTGCATCGTGATCGGGCATTAGTTCAGGAAAATGTTCGCAGCGATCTCGATGCGAACAATGTGGCGAGACTGGCGAGCTCGCGGCCCACAGCTCGCGTACTCAATAGCCTGATACAAATACTATGGCAGAATGTGATGAGGAACTTATACTAGGATCTAGTGATTTAGAATTGTATGCACACAATACATTGTAATGATACTTCATGTTGATTTAGCGCTTTATAGCGAACGTGAGCAGTGACTGGTCAGTTTTGTAGTGTGGTAGTTTCACTTACTGCGCTATTTCCCATATGACTAAGGTTTTTAAAGATAACTAATGCAGTATTACTAAATGTAACATATAAGTTTTTGCCAGTTAAGTTGAGCATCACATTTAAACGTCACAGAAAAATTATCTGTATCCTGCTAGAATAAAATTAAATTCATCTTTCCATTTCAACTCACATAAATTTACGAAGGATCAATCCATCTAAATTTAAAATCTCAATTCGACATTCGATCAAGCCAGATATTATAAATCAAGGTAATCTCATTAAATATAAACGTTAATATCTAAAAAGTCTGGTATCTTACGACGTACAGGCCATCAAAGGAGCGCAGTCGACGAGTCTCCAGGGAAATCAGTCGAGTGTGGAGGTGCCCTTAGCCCTATATTGTCTGTAGCTGCCTTTATAACTGATTTATGGATACGTGCGCGGGGTTACATGTACTTGCGGGATATAGGGCTGGTTCACACTTACGTATGTCTTCATTATTAGTTGGTAACGCGATAAAATTTGAAATGGACATAAACTGCGTCTAACAAGGTACGAAAGTTGACAGTATTAATTGCTAGATGAGAGTATTATCTGACGGTCTCATGACAGAGATATTTATAAAAGTTTATTGTCAAACAGGTGTTCCTAATGCCAATGTAAATATCTAAAATTTTAGGTAATCGGTTCTTCTTTTTAGAGTGCAATAAAAGTTTTATATTCGACCACATCGAAATAGGTTGGTGTTCGTGCTAGATATAAGGTTATTAGTTATTTAGGTTAGCCACAACTTTGCAAGAACTAGGTTACCTGAATGCACTACTAAACTAGATCAGAGATATTCAAGTTGAGATGTTTGCTAACTGCGGGTGTAAATGTTATTAATAAAGTAATCGATTTCATGACCATCATTTCACGGTATCTCTGTTATTAGTAAACTGACAGTCTTGTCTCATTGCACACGTCTTGGTAATCGATACATTAATTAATTATGTAATGAATACACAAAGTTATAAAATATATAAATCAAATGTAACAAATGGTCTCCTAACACAGGCACATCTTACTTAAACACGATCACCCAAGATTTATGATCACACAAATTACAATAATAAAGGATTTTTAATTTTTTCATAATAATAAATAATAAAGATAATTTTTCATAATAAACGAGCGATGGACTACACGAGCACCTCTTTGTAGTAGGTATAGATTAGGATGTGACTGCACTATCCACTATCATAGAATACTTAAATCTTTTTTTACGCTAATATGTTTGGGGAGGGCGTTTATTCCTTTTTCAATTTTAAAATTATTAAAATATTTGTTCGGTTTTAGGTTGTTACATACCTGCTACCGAGTAGGTAGTAAATATGTATTTCTGTCTTCCTTATTTTCTCCTTACCTATATTAGAAAAAAATATAAATAATTAGATGAATAATAAAACAACTAGTCCGTATATTAATGTACTTTTATTTTTAAATAAATATAACCAATAACATTTATTACATCACAGGAGCAGGGTATCTTGAAAACACAATTCATTGCGCGGCAAACGTTTCACAGACCATAGACAAAAAGTCGGCCATTTTGAATCTATGGTCAAAATTAAAACGATCGCGCGCTTTTCTTAAATTCAATTGACATCCCTTAAAATATAAATAAGTATAACTAAATGAATATTATACTATTTATTAACAGTACATGTCGCCAACCAAACAGATTTATTTAAATTTTATGTCACGACAGTAAGCATTATAGGCCATATTTGTGCGTTATAAGATAATTAATTTATTAAATAAAACCACCATAAGTAACCGATTATTAAGTTATTAAGTTTGCAGTTAAGATAAACAAAATGATGTAATAATAAAATCAATGTAGGTAAGTCAGTCATATTTATTTTATAGTCTGTATAAAACTTGAATGATTCAATGATCTGTAAGTACAATATTCAGTTTTTATATTCGATGGGAATGGTCGATCGGAATTTCATTATTTATAGTTTATTTTGCTGTTGTTTCGTTTCGAAATTGACAGTTCGTTAATTTTGTGTCCAGTTTGGAATTTAATTTTCTTTCATTGTATGCAAATTCATTGACGATGTATTTTTATTTCATCTGCTGTGAAATTGTTGCATTCTGTTCTGAATAACTTAATTGAAAAATAAAACAATTTTCACATATATTATTACTTCAATAAAAATACAAACTGTCTATTCTATAGGTACAATTACGTTCAGATATTAATAATAATTATATTTTCCATATTTTAAATTAAATTTTGGCGTTTTCATTTAAATAAGTCGTCAAAATAGAACAAGTTAATTTTCCGTTAATTTTATTATACTTTTTAAATAACATTTAAATATTTTCGAAATCAGATGATATGACGCCAAAATATAACTTAAAATAAATATGAAATCTAAAGATATGCGTAACTAGAAACAGGTTAATAGTTCAATCTACAACTAAATACACTTTTTACAATCCGTAGTACGTTCAAGCGAAACTTCTAAATCGTTTTTTAAATATTTATTTTATCTATAATTATTATGTTCCTTGGTTTTTGAAAAAAGTACAATCATATTGTGTATCTGGCCACTAAATGAATTATTTATTTGAATTTTTTTTTATCATGTTATAGTGGGATGAACTACTTATAAGTTTGATTCATGACACTGCTTATTCTTAAAAGCACTCTTTCAGCCGATTTAGCCGCGGCATACAAGTAGAACATTGATTATTGTAAAATGTTCGAGATGATTTATACCATTGTATACTCAGCCGGGCCCGAGGAGATAGCATAAATAACGTTGACGGGTCAATTGTGAACGATTACGCATATTTTCTGACTTTATATACCCGATTGAGTTGTTTAATTTTTTTGTATTACCAGTGAATGGCTTTTGTTGCGTGATTGTACGGTTTTTGTTGAGCCTCAATGGGAAAAGAAATAAATTATGATTATGGTATTTGCTGTATAGACATTAAAAGTGACTTTATAATTTTTATTTTAAGGTTGTCGTTGATTGTACTTTTTCAAAAATAAGGCTGCTTATTATTATTTCCTTAGTAAAGCTAGTAATACTGTACATACCTTAGTTAGGCGACGCATTTGTTCAAGTTATGCCCTCGACAGCGAAGACATTCCACAGAGGAAACTAAGTACTCTATACAAAATAAAAATGTTACTTTGGCAAGATCTAATATTTAAATCATTTAATTTACAGAAAAAAAAGAAAAGAGAAAAATACGAACACATAGGTAGAGAGATTGATATTTTTAGCTTAAAGTGTATAAAATCTAAGCGCTAACGATATAAATTAAACACTTAACCTTAGTGATAAGTTTTATAATATAAATGAGGTACGTTAAACCATTGTGACTATGTGGTGATTCATCTCCGAATGTGTCCTACAACTAACGTGTACGATCGCGCACAACTCACGTCATCTGTCAAACTGACATGTCATGTCACGCAGAAATGACATGTCGTTACATACAACGTTATTTTGTGAGTCGGTTTTATAGCTTGATATACATCCAAGTACCTAATTTATTATGCCCGGGTAGAATATTTTTTTTTATTATTTGCGAGTTTGACAGACACCGAGACGCCATGCAGCCACAGCACATAAAACAATATCAACATTAGCATTTTCAATATAATATAACAATTATACAAAAAATGCAAGAAATGGAACGATACAATTACGTTTTGCCTTATAAAATTAAACTATTCAAAATAAATAATAATAATAATATTATAATGTACAATTTTTAACGAAATCCTAGGATGGGAAAAATTTGAATGTTTTTGTTTTATGATTAATGTAGAGACACGCTTATAATGGATTTTATTTTATTTTGCACAAGGTTAGATTGTCAAGTTATTTTATATTTAGGGAGAGGTTAGGTTGCGACCCAAAGGACCAAGTTTTAGCGTGCCCCAACCAATGTCTCTTGCATTTTTGGCATAAAAACTTGTCGTAAATAACAGTGGGACTACAGTTATCGTTATTATTATTAACGTTATTCCTAAATCGGACTAGGTAAACGTTTGTGTGCCTCAGGAATTAATGTTGAATCAAATGGACAAGTTTTTGATTAAATATTTATATAGAAAATTGGTAAATTGAACGACAATAGTCTACTACAAAGACTTGCATATAACGGTTTGATTATATTTCTGAGGTTATAAAGCTTATAGTTAGGCCTACGAGTTGCAGTCACAAAATTAGGTATTTTCGATATGTTCACTATTTGCATTACCCACACAGACTTATAATTTATTTAGAGGAATAACTTCACTGCGAAAACATTCAATTTAACACTTGCTTTTAAGAACTATATGTTTATGGTATTTAAGCATGTGGTTATCGACACAACATTGGGAATTGACATAAAACTATGTATCTAGAACACCTTTCAATTACACGAAGATGCGTCGAAGAGTGATTACAATCAGTCTTATGATATATCAACGTTAATTCCTGAGACAATATATTATTGTTATATGAATTTATATAGACAGCACGTATATGGCAGTAACAGTTAAAACAACTACGTTTATCAATTCACGTATGTTTGCAACGACGGATTACGACGAGAACTTGCTCTCATTGGTTGCTTTATCCCCACTATTCCAAGATGGCGGTCCGCTAATGGCAGTTGATCGCGCGCCGTTGAAGCCGGCGGATACGTCGGTGCCAGTCGTCGCGCCACTCCAGCAGTAGTGTCCTCTCGCCGACCGTCAGCCCTGGAAAACCGGCTGACACGCCCTCTTTTTCCACTCCTAGGATTAGGTATGACCTAACAGAAAAAGAAACAGCATTTAATAAGTAATCTTCAGATTAGGAGCCTTTTATTTGATCAGACCCAAATAAAGAATTCTAGTTTAAATTCTTCTTTTTTTATGACATTTCTTCTAAGACTTACTTGTTGATCTTGATCTTAGGGCACTTGCAGGCGAGGTCCGCGGCGCGCACGTGCAGGGCGGTGGCGCCGCGGCGCAGACGACTGCGCGGCGCGCGCTTGTACACTGCCTGCACGCTCAGCGCCAGCCGCACCCACTGGTCGCCCGCCGCGCTCGCCTCGCGACCCACCACCTTGCCCATTATGACTGTACACAGAAACATACAACCTGTCAATTTTATAGGCATCATTTAAAAATATTTCCCGTACCAAAGAATGTGTTCATCAAAAGATGGCTGAAAAACCTTATACTTGTAGATATTGAATCTTATTTTTATGAAAATGTAATGAAGTAATTCTGCCAAGTCAGAGAGATCGAGATTGATTAAAAGCTTAGGACTTTCCCCAAGTTTGCTTATTGGTTTGTGACGAAAACAGATACTAAAACAGCTAGTACTGATGAAAGACTTGATGGAACTCGGGCCAACCAAGACAGGCTCAACATGCATCACAAGAGAGAGTTTAATTACCTGCTATGTGATCGAAAGCAGTTAAAAGACGATAATTACATATTTTATTCAACGTTTTTTAAGTGAAAGTGGGTTTTAATAACGTACTATATTGGAAAAGCAATTATCTTTCTAATCACATTTGTTCTGATTGGAGATTAGTTTAAGAATTTTAACAAGACCCTCAATGAATATGTATGAGGAAACCCGTAAAGGACGTATACACCAGGAACGGGATACGGTCACAGCACTAGCACACGAAGCTGTTACTGCTACTGCAGAAGTACGGTTATTAGAATCTTTTATCGAAGTTGAAAACAGATTCTTTAAAAGACAGTCCGTATTAGAAGAATATTTTGCAAGATCATAAAAATGAAAGAAGAGTAAAGTTATTAACAACGGGAGTTTGTAGAGGCGCTTACCGTAGTCTCGGCTGCAGAACTTGTTGAGATTTAGCGTGCGAGCGGCGGCGCGACACCGGCCGCACTGCTCCGTTGCTGTATATACACATCATCGTCAGTTTATCATCATTTATACATAATTATCAGTCTATAGATTTACTTATTTTCTCATCAATATAATTAATTTTGTCTAAGACTCAATAAAACAAATTAGTTTCTTCTATATTGTAAGCAATTTTAATTTCTCTTAAATGGATTCAAATAAAGGATACGTTCTGTGTTACGTTATTTACGAATGAAAATGGAGTTTATCAGAGTTAATTATTAATAAAGAAATTGTTTGATGTATAATTACAGATAGTTAGTGGTTAAAAATAATGTTAATTTGAAAGTTTTACCTCTCAGTCGGCACTGACAAAATAAAACAAAAAGTATTATGAGTTTGACAGTGAATGACACGGAATAAGCTTGAAATGAATATTGTAAGATTCACAATACGACACACAGACATTCCCACACTACCGATACATTAAGTACAAGAAGAACTTTAAAGTCTGACCATAAAGTATGACAAAATGATAGAAAATTGGTCCTTTCGTCCAAACTTTCTTTATAGATTGGTTGAAATGTTGGCGGACGAAAAATGGTCAGTATAAATTCTTAGACATTCAAATTGCCAAAGTAAAATAGTGTTACTTATATCATTACTGAATTACTGGTAGAAATTACATTTTCGTATGAAATTAGTCATGTGGTGTGAGAATGGAGAATCAGTAATAACTTACTGCCTTTCGATTACTTTTACAAGCTAATGTTGCAAAGTAATTCAATCAATTAGCGTACGAGGCAATTTATTAGTCTGGTATCAATTGTCAGCTCGTAAAGCACTCTTAGTATTTATTTATTCGTCTCCTTGCAACAAAGTAAAGCTACTTATCAAAAGGCAATAAGATATAAATAAAATTAAAGTGCAAATTAATAATAAAGTGGAGCGATACTGTACTTTTTGACTTTTAAAATCTAGAAATAGAAAATACTTCACGTTATGATCATCACACATCCAAATTTTCTCAATGTTAACGTTAAATGCCTCTTGTTTTATTACTATTGTTATTCATAATGTCTAAAAATTACATTAATATTCAATATTGATTTAAAATAATACAAATTATTCTCAAAACGTCAAATGCCATGGTGGTCCCCGGTGACCGACGTTAGCAAGGGAATTGATGCTTTCAACAGCGTTCTATTGGATGTCAAAGGTTTAACACTAAACAGTTCTTTGTATACAGTAATTTAATAATTACAGTTATTCTTAAAACAACAATCATAAGCTTGGATCATTGTTTAAATTTTCAAATAATTAATAAAGATGGAGAAAAGTAAATGAAAAGTCAATACAATGACGATTGTCAGTTTTAATGTCCCAATTATTGTACAATGTAAAATAATTGCACATGAGAAAACTATGGTATTTTATTGCAGTGATTAGCTTTCAAAATATTGTGTTTTGCTCGTTGTAAAAGGACCACACAGTTAACTATTTATAGAAAGTACAATAAGCTCCATCTCAAGTAGCACAGACATTCAATCCCAATTCCTGTCGAAAATAAATGTGTATATCTAACCGTATTTATACAATTAATAACATAATTAGGAACAAAATAAAATCATTCCTGGTCCTTTTTGGTCCTTCAATACGAAGTTTAATTAAATTTACTAACTTTTTTTTCAAATTTGCAATATTTCTACGATATTTTGTTGTCTGACGATTGAGTGTCTGTGGTCATGCAAGTGTGTGTGAGGCGAGAGTGCATGAAGGTACACTTACTACTTACCGCGGCCCGGGTCGCCGTCCACCGCCTCCATCGCCTGCACTGCTGTCACCACACGAGGGATACCTGGGGAACAACGTCTCAAGTATAGTAAGAACATGGGAAGAAGAAGAAAGAACACTTCTGATTGAATAAGAATATGTTTCCATTTTAACTCGTCGAGTACCGTCATTATAGACACAATTATAGAACAATAGGTTGCGGTCACCGGTGACCGCTTGGTGTTTGACAGTTTAAAAGGAGTACTTAGTTTTTTGCTAGATCTTATCTACGCTTAAGAACGCGTTATTAGTTTTTCCTACTATGGACTGATTGACGGATTCAAAAGTGCTTGGTTTGATTTTGACAAATATATTCTCATTTTTTTTCTTTTGCCTATAGTATACATCTGTATGTTCTGTAACTAGAATAAACTAGTAAAATGCTCTCTTAAATACAGCACCAAACTACAATCAAAGTTCTAACCAACAACAAAAGCGCAGCAAGTAACAAGTATTCGACTCCATTACACGAACAGTTCAACAATCCGACGACTTGTTACAATGTGTCGGCATTACAAAGTCCTACATGTACACACGTCAACCTATACGAGCCAGTATAAACTGACCGTCAGATGTGCAGAAAGATCATATAAGAAGAGACCAAGGTAAATTGGTTTTCTATAGCTTCATGGATAGGGTACCTATTCCCAGTTACGACTGTTGTAAAGTAATGGTTAGGCTGTTTAGTGCTTACAATCCCGATAGCTTGCCTTTAAGTGACTTTTAATGCGTGGGAGAGAGGCCAGGTGCGAACCCTGGACGGTCCTCGGTTCACACCTCACCAAGGATAGTGCGAATGTATCGATCCTCATGCATAATGGATTGAGGTAATTGAAGCTAAGCTGGTTTGAGGATTTAAGTATCCAATCTTGGTTTTATTTATAAAATATTAAAAATCCAACCTTCCTCAGTCAATATTAGATTCTAAAAAAAGATCAGGAAAAGTAACACCGAAAAATTATCAGATGTCCGTCCCTAAAATGTTTTGGTGTGAGTGACGTGTGTATTTGTGGGAACTCGACCCCAATACCTTAACTAAACTTGATTTTTAAGTGAAACAAAATTACGCAGGTTTTAACATTTCAAAATTTTCTAGGTGTTGAATCTTACGTATACAAGGCGCGATGTGGCTGCGTGACTGCTGGTATCCTTTGGCGCAGCGGTTGCAGGTAGTGCCGGTGACTCCATCCTTGCAGGGACACTGTCCGCTCGTTTGATTGCAGGTCTTACCACTCGCTCCTACTGGGTGGCAGTCGCAGGCTGGTAGAGGAAAAAAAAAATTAAGAAATTTTACAAACTAGACTTACTTATAATAGTATGCTTAAATGGAATAATCTAATTTGCATGTCTCTCGGCACCTAGGCTTCAAATAGCTACTGAATTTCAAGGCAGCAAATCAAGTTATGAAAATGATAAATAGACTGAAAATAATTAGACATATTTAAATTTATAAATATGTTATTTCACCATGGGGACAAAGACATTTCATAAATAAGTTCTTATTTTCATGTCAAGGATCTACGACAGGCGCTGTTTCAAGCGTCGATTGAATTTTTTCGTGGCCCGTTCAATCGGCAGTGCGACATCTATAATTGAATTTCAAGTTTTGCATTCGGAACAGTCTCCGACCATCGAGGGAAGTAACTCGTATTGACTTTCTGTTCTAGTAGCCAAAGTAATACTATGGAGATAGAGAATTCCTGCCCAAATATACGTTAAATCAGTACCAACTGCAAGTAGAACGCTAATTTCGTTTGGATCATGCTCAAGTCCAGAAATCGAAACTAAAGATGAGTATCGATATTAACCGTACGTTCTTCAGAATTCAATTATTTTTATAAAAAGACCTATTGATGCTCTTAGAAAGCTACAGGAAAGATGAAATGTAATATTTATACAATACAATGCAATAATTATGCTGTATAGAAAAACACAAGCGACTATTACCCCACGTCCCATTCCGAAACGAGGAAGAAAAAATATAATGCGATAACGTCACTGGCCGAACTACTATCTCGAAGATGTGGTTCACAAACTAAGAAAAGGAAAACTTCATTCCTTTCTTTATTATTACATTTTTTCTCAAAGTAAGTCTGTTGTCGGGAAATAACGAAGTCTTAACACAGTTGTGTTGGCCGCCAGTTCGCGTTGTTTACCAAGTAAATTAGTTCGAGTGTATTTACTAGCTGTTCCTATTACTTCGTAGCTCGTAGTTGGAAGTTAGTTGGACTTTTGGACTAATATTTGCGCATCTGTATGTGATGGGAACTGGCTTAATCAAGAGGTGTGTGACATCTGTGACGTATATATTTAGTCGATGTTGTATTTACTAAATCGTGTAATTTTAGACAAATGGTTAATAAAATATTACTTAAATCTAAACATACATTATTCTGACAATACGCAAGTATAGTACATAAGAAAACTCTTAACATAATTGGTCGGTTCACTGTAAATGCAATTTAGTTCACAGTGGGTACATTACGTCGCAATCAAGGGAACACTAGAAATAAAAGCCAAGTATAAAGCGCTATTTCACACAATCACGTTCTATTTGCCCAGCAACTACTTACTTTATAGCAGTGACCCACAACATGAAGTACTTTTATTTTAATGCCGCTTTAATCAATAACTATAGCAATCCTAACACTATTTCCTAGGTAATAAAGGTGTTAACAAGATCTTAATTAATCGTAAAGTGTAAAGTAATAATTATTTTTCTTGATACCTAAGTACTTATCTAGTTTGTGAACAGCAACTTGTTCCATAATATTCAATTTTCCTACAAACAAAATAACGCTTCATTTCGTAAAATTGCGGGACCCTTAAATCACAATCGATGATCGCAACTATTCGAAACAGAATTCGTTTTATTGTGCGTTATGATTTGTTATCGAGATGAATCGATATAGTTGATTTCATTCGATAATCGGAATCTCCCGAGTGTGTCGTAGAATTCTGAACTCAATTATCCGGATGCGTTTGGTTGAGGGAAAAACTGGGAAAGTGTTGAATTGTGCGTTGACCTCGCGTCCATTTTATAGCGGTCCGGGTGATCCGGGTACTCCGGGTGTATGACAGGGAATTGCGATCGGAAATAATGTTGGCAATTGTATCGGTTGTACGATCCAATGTTTGTATTCTAAGAACTGAGAAAGGTTTCGGGAGCAACGTCTTGAGAATATTGTTTGATTTGCTGAGATGGGGAGTGGAATGATGGTTGTTCTTTTTATAGCTTTTACTTGAGAAAATTGTCATTGGATTTTCGACGCAAAAATATATCTCTATATTCACATTGTGCCTACAACTATTTAAACGTATTGTATACGTATTTTTCAATATAGTAAAATGCAAATACGTTTGTGAATTAATCACTAGAAAACAACCAAATACTGTAACTTTACTTCCGTTCACATCCCACTAAAATTAACCCAACCAGCCATTTCGTTCTTCCCCGTCGACTTAACAAGTCGATCCCAACTAGCTGACGTAACAACAGTACTTAAGATACCCATTTCCATACCCCAATCTTGACTCAATCAGCGAAAAACCTACCACGGCCGTCAAATAAAACTGAAGCGCCCCCAAGGACCAATTGGACCCGAAAGACTCGAAGGACCAACTCGATTTTCGGCCAATTTTATGAGAAAACTATTGTATCCGCGACCGCGGGGTCGAAGAGACCGGCACGCATTTACTTTACGGTTTTACGACGTCACGCCTTTTTGTTTTGCTATTTCGATTTCTTGGGATCCGAATGGCTTACGTTGGAGAGGGTTAAATGTTTGTGTAGTTGATATTGGGTGCCACTCGGTAAATAGTTTTGAAGATGAAGGTGGAGATAATACAAATTCGGGATCCCTTTTCCATCTTAGCGAAATCCCAAAGAAAAACTAACTGGGGATGTAATCGTACTTTATAAGAAAAACATTCATGGCAAACAGAAAGTAAACATAACAACAACATATGAAATTGTGTGTAGGAAATAATAATCGAATTTTAGTTCTCAAGAGTGATTGTAATAATTTGTGTACAAAGTTTAATAATAAGTAATTTTAACGAATATTTGTCCAACAAACAGCGACAGCACAAACTATATCATTAAAAAACGTAACACGAAAGTAAACACAAGGAATATAAAAAGTGATAATCTCGAATTGATGCGGCATTTTACAAATATAACGTTAAACCAACTAAACCCGACTATTCGTATTTGTATAACGACCGTGTCTATTTGAACGTAGATAGTTAGATTATATCTGTCTGTTTGTCTGTCCGTGGACAGGTGTAAACGGTTATCGTCAGTTTAATTTATACTTATCTTTAGAGCTTAAAATATTACGGTTTAACATTAAATGTAATGCGTTACAGTTAAACCACGGCTAAATGTTATTGTAATCTTTTCAACTGAACTTATTTTGTAGCTTGTTTGTTGGGAAAAGTCGGGTAACGTGGGTATAAAAAGTTATGATGCTTTTTATGTATCAATCTGTTTATCTAGCTTGCTTTCACGGAAATAGTAAGCAAAGGTGTTTAATAGGTAAAAATGCGCATTTGTACCTGCATTAATGTTTCGTCAAATTATTAGTTTGGTTGGTTCTGGGATAAATTACGTTATCTGACGAATGCAAAAGTATATAATAGCCATTCATATCGGGTAGATTAAACGAGGATGCAATACCTTTTCTTTGATGCTTTGCCTTTATATCCTTTTTAAAATCTTGATCAATATGATGCTCTTACGATGTAAACAATGATGATTAAGTTATTCATTACTCAGGTTAAATTTTCGCTAGCCATGCAAAACCAAAGCCAAACTGAGAGCAAAAATGTTCTCATGATCAATATCAGCACGTGTTTAAAGTGTCCAATAAGACAGAAGACTATATCTATCTTATCCTTTAGTATTGTTATGCACATGCAAAATTCATTATATTTTTTCTACCCCTAAAAGAAACAAGTTGTTAAAAATATAATTTCAAGGTCTACCGGTTGAAACAAAAGACATTAACATCTTGAATGTCTAAAACTACTTGACTATGCTAAAATCTTCAAGTAAAATTTGCTTAAAAAAATACAAACTTTCTCTACTCTGATAAACTATTCTGTGGACGAATCAAAATTCAATATTTTCTATACAAGAAACCTACCGTTTTTCTTTTTGAACTTTATTTATAATGGAAGGTTATGAGCATCAAACTAAAATACATTATGAAGAAATGACCATGGATGTGTCATGTCCATGAAACAATATGCATAATTCTTATGAGAAACCATACACATCGCAGAGAATTATTAAAGTCGTTTGTACTTACGTTTGCAAGCCTTCTTATGAGTGATAGGCTTGGTGGGGTCCCTGTAATATCCCTCGCGGCAGTAGTGGCAGTGCCTGCCTGCTGTGTAGTGCCTGCACTTGAGGCACACGCCCCCGGATGCCCTGCCCGACAGCTTGTACAGCTCCATGTTGAACCGGCAGCGACGCGCGTGCCCGTTGCAGTTACATTCTGTTGGAGAGAAGGAAATTTGTAAGACATCACACTTGTTCAGAATCATTAGCAAAGTAAAAGGCATATTGCATTGACAAGTTATTGAAAATACGCCCGTCGGGTCACGACAAAAAATAAGTTTGAACTTTGAAGGTTATTTTATTTTAAAACCAACTAAAACACAATGGAATAGTAAGACATAATAAGGTAATATTTTCTTATTTTTTGGTTTCCGTATTCTCATCTAAAGTTCTATCAACAAGTTCCATTCAGCAAATGCATTTTTTCTAAATGTCTCTCTAGTTCGATCGAAACTACTAATCAGTTCATTAAAACCCTTGCATTTTCTGTCTACACTATCTAGCTACTGCATTACTGGTCCTAGACAAATGCATCACAATATCTACATCTGTGTCTATCTGTCTGTGTGTCCGTAATACCTTGGACCTCAGGTCTAGTGCTCAGGCATTAGCCCCGTGACGAATGACACCATTAACCGACCGCGGCGAATCCAAGGAGGTAAATGTATTGCGATTAATTATTAGCTAGAAACATTCATTTGAGTTTAGAAATATTTATCGTTCTTATTTGTGGTTAGATAGTTACGGATGGGTTTTTAAGGATTCTTGGAGGGTATACAGTCTTGGAATACATGTAAGCAATAACTGAGACGCCAATAAAACTATGACTATGCCATATAACTAGAATTTCATGTCTTGTACTGCACCACTACATAGAGTACTTATAAATTATAATAATATGTTTTCCGTGATAATATAAATAAAGTTAAAATAGTACAATGATTGACAAATAAATAAATATAATTTACTTGTGTTCGTTAGCAACCCTCCAAGACAACTATACATAAAAGAACACACACAGACAAATAATGAGATTTATAATACGTGTCATCATCTTGTCATATGTTGACATACACATCATCGTTCCCATCCCACTACAAAGGGAAGCTGGGTATTTTTCTAACAGCGCCATCTGTTAACCGTAATAGCAAACCACAGATCGACCGCTGACAGGTTTATGTGGAAGGGCGGCGCACGCGCAGACTTACGATCACTTTTGTAATGGCATTAATGGCTGTTATGTCTTTTGCGTATGTTTTAATATTTTTAGTTGCACTTGTTATCGTGTATTTTGTCCTTTTATACATTGTCTTCTGTGAAATTTGACACGAAAGATATAATATTAGTTCTAATATTTAAACAAACATTTTAATTCTGATACCAAGAAATCAGATCCCGTACCTTCTAATTTAAAATAGCTCCGGACATAATATAAATCTGCATATCCTGGCATCAGCTCCGATTGTTCTAGGAACGTTCCCAATAGATCCTGGATATAGGCGCCGCCACTGGTGGTAATCGTCATAGACCTACGTCTAAGGCATAATCGCAACGACCTGGATACGCCGCGTGCCAAGAATCTGCCGCAACGATCCGAGGGATTATAGGCATTAGAATACTTAACACAAGCCACAATATTGCTTGTTTAGGCACACTATTGTCATCGTACAAAATGTTAACGAGCTTTATGTCAATCATCGTTTAGTTAAACTAATTTCTCTGTTATTTCACTGGGAGACAATAGAAGTATCGCAAATGAATATGTAAGACAACTAGCTAACACAGTTGTTAAACAAGTAGTCTTTACTATCGCAACATCTACTGGAATTAAAGAAACTCTACCGTAAAAAGTGCAGTACTAACAAGGTAGGAACTTTAAAGGAATAAAAAGCAAGCGGATCAGTTTTTCCGATCAACGGAAATTAAAGCGAGGAGAAAACGGAGCACCGGTTGAAACTAATCGTGAAGTGGTTCGCGTCTTGATTGGAGCACGTACCGGCCAATAAGAAGCGTTCAAAGTAAATTAATTAGGGAGCCGACTGATTGGCCGTCGTCAGCCGGACACGGGGGCACGTGACCGGATGCCGGACGTGAGCGGCCGTATCCGAAGCTACTTTCGCGACAATACGGACGCGCGTGATGCAGAATAAAGGAGAAATGTAAAAGAAATGCTGACGAGGTGCTAACTGTACCTCCGACGATATTGTTCCGATTTATTTCACTTGGGTAGCGGTAATGTTGTTAATGTTGTCATTCTGTAGCTATGTAGTTGAGACGTGATGCTTTTGAATGTTAAAGACTTACTTTTTAACTCTTTCTCGTCGTTTTCTTTTTCTAGAAAACCGTGATGCTTGTTAGCTACTCATTACTTAATTGGTTTATTTAGAAACCAACTGTGTCAAACATTAAACGTTTTAAATCAAATCCAGGATTGTGTTGTAATGATAGTCCTAGTTTAATTTAGTTTCCATCTAAATGTCTACATAGGCTAAGGGTTTCTTGCATAGTTTCAAGCAAAAGGTTTGTTCGCGACAACTGCTTGAATTAGTTTGTGCATAATTTATTAGTTAAAACAGTGATAAATGGTACTACTTGGGTAGCCAGCACAATAATCTATTTCCTTGTGTTAATTTATAGCACTTTTACTTGATTGTAAGGGCGGTGGACAGCTGGGTCAGTCTAGTTTTCTTACTATGTTGAATGTTAGATATAGGGCTACTGTTAATTTTGTTGAACTAATCTGTTGAATATACTGTTTATTTTAAGTTGTTTCTTTATCTGTTCTTGTTGTGGATAAGCTTACATAAATACTAGTGTAAACTGTACAAATTCAAGTTTAAAGTTTCTATGTGTAAACACAATACACACCCAGGTATCAATATATTCATAAAAACAACAAGTACGTGTGGAAGGGCCATGCTTGGGCACGAAAGAGCCGGCTCGACCGGAGTGATACCACGGCCTCAGAGAAACCGACGTGAAACAGAGCTTGTGTTGTGTCTCGTTGTGTGATTGAGGTTACCGGAGTTTCCCCAATCTCCTCAATATCTACATCCTCAAATTCTTAATCCCCAGGCCGTTAACGCACTTGTAACGCCGCTGGTGTTCCAGGTGTCCATGGGCGACGACGATTGCTTACCACTAAGTGATCCATCAGTTCGTTTATCGGTTTATCTCATAAAGAAGTAAGCTACAACCAACCATAAATAAATCTAACAAATCACAAAGTTTCCTTCTTCTATATAACCTTTACTGTAAAGGGTTCTAATATTGTAATGGTTGGAAATACCCTTTCCAAAACATTAAGTCTTCATGTCACCGCCACTATTTACCTAAGTACTGTGTATAGTGACGTCACGAGTCACGATTAGACTACATAAATCACGCGGACCCGCCCGCTCTACTCATTCTTTTGTCACACACTAACGATCACAGCTAATGGACGGTAAACTGGGCTTTCATCAACTAGTGTATGACTTGTGTTTCATATTTTTGTATGGTTGGTCCGTGAAAATATGAAGCCGAATGTTTTTGTAAGTTGTAGTGAAAGAGCATTGAATGGTCTACAATATGACTTATAAGAAAGTCTTTAATGTAATTCAGGATTCAGAATCATTATTTATTTTACATTTTTACTTACCTATTGCTTTTCTTGTCGACTAATTTCGAGCAAATAGGTACTTAACTTATTTCAACGCATTTTTCGTCCTTCCTGAATTTAGAACCGACTACCTATCATCCTACTCTCAACTTTAAAGCCTTCAAAATAGAGTTCAAACTCCCTCCATCGAACACCTAATACGTAATAACGATCAATTAGGCAAAACGCTTCAATGATCACTTAATTTAAGCGTCAGATTCGCTCAGCACATATTAATACAATTTATACGTTCCCATCAGCGCTAAAAGTGTCTAAGCTGAACTTTAGTAACAGAATTAAGTCGCACAGGGGTGGCAAATTGCGACACTCGAGATAACGACTTTATTAATTTGATTAATCCCGGCTCATAGACATATGGGCTTGATAACTCGGAGGTGGTACACCCCTGTCATATGTCTGTCCGCAGCTAAATTTGTGCGCAGAAGTTCCAATCAAGAATTGTGTAAGGTAAGCTGAAATTTTGCGAACTATTTTTGTAATGCTGTGATTAATCTTGTCTGTAGACTTCGAGAATCACAACAAATCACTACTACACTATCAGATTTTCTTGTAACTGGACAGGGACATAGCATATGGCACTGATTTGAAAATGATGAAGCTTCATAGTCTCGACTTTTAATAAGGCCCAAAATTTGTTAAGTAATTAGGTAAATTGATGAATGAATTCTATTACTGGTTGAGATCTTAAGATCGCGACCGAGTTGGTTTACTTTGCTGGAAGGACATTTTTTAAGCCTTCAGCCTGTAACTGTATCAACCTTCTGTTCTGTTGCTGCACTGCGTAGTAACATCCTAATAATAGGGTTATTGTGAGCTGAGTACCTGCAGGAACTGATGTACAGGATTTTGAGAACCTCATGTTATGTGCCTACCAACCTATAGGAAGAGTTTTAAGCACAAGTAGGAAAGGGAGAATATGTACATCATTTACGACAAGATACGCTAGAAAAATATTTAGCATAGGAGAGGTTTTTACATATTGCAAGAAGGGAACTTATTAGTTTATTTTGACGCACCATTTATTCTTTTATCACTCAAAAGTGCCAGTGACACACTTAATATTTGGCAATAAACCTCACTTCACAGTGCAAACACGACAGAAAATTCTACAAACAGAGCTCTCGAAAAATAAATCGTTCCTGGATATCGATTACGACAGATAACTGTCCAATTTGGAGCCGACCATTACTCATGACGACACTGATTGACAAATGAGGTCCTGACGCGAGCCCAACCACGCGGGCCCCGCCTCCAACCGCCACTGTTTACACGCGACTCCAGGACCAGGTGATTAATTTAATATTCGATCGTGTTGGTCTTTGTACCCTATCACTTTGACATACAAACATCGAAGCAGGGACTTTTTGCAAAACAAAATAAAAATAATGATTTATGACGAGATACGTTTGATCCAAGCTTGCTAGATTAATGTGAAGTGAATATGATTCATGTGTCTAAAGTGATGTTTCTGAAATTAAGCCTATCCCAGATTTCTG